CTAAATGAAAACAAGAGGAGGTAAATTTTGATGATCATATCATAGAAGTAGAGTTGAAAGTGAGAGAGAACAAGAAAAAACAAAAAGAAGTGGTATCACCTGTGAAGCCAGTTGAAGAGAAGACTAAACTAGTGATTAAGTTGTCGTATACCTCTCGAGTGGAAAAGAAGGACATAAAAGAGAAACAGTTTGATAAATATGTCAAATTGTTTTAAAAGTTAGAGATCAACATACCATTCTTTGATGCACTCGAGAAAATACTCTTGTACAAGAAATTCATGAAGGAGCTACTATCAAAAAAGAGACCAACAGAAGATGGACAAGTACCCGTTGATGAGAAATTATGATAGGCTATCACGCCCGAGAGAGAAATCTCTATCAAGCAGAAGGATATGGGGTCAGTTATAATACCGTGCACAATAAAAGACAAGAAATTCAAGAGGATTCTAATTGATCCTGGTTCTAGTGTGAGCTTAATTCCCTTGTCTATTTTCAAAATGCTTGATATTGAAAAGATAAGCAGGGGTGGGACAATTAAAATTTGCCGATCATACCACCAAGCAGTCATACGGAATAGCGAAAGATGTATAGGTGGAAATTTATAATTTTGTCTTTTCCATTGATTTTTATATCATTGATATCCCTGAAGATGAAGAGACTCCTATCATTTTTGATCGACCATTTCTACTGACTAATCGGTGCAATTTTGATATTGAGATAGGTAATATGACACTAAAATCATTTGATGAAAAGATAACCTTGAAAGTGTTGGAGATCAAGAAGAAGGGTGTAGGTGGAAAGAAACAATCTTCAATTGGAATGATCAAAGTAGAAGGAGAAAGAAAAATTTCAAAATCACTCCCAGAAGAAGTCTTTGGAATAATCTCTCAGATGGCATCAATAAAAATTCCCAACTTCAATTAAGAAGTCAAAAAGAAAAAGAAGAAGGAACACCGAGGTGAGAAAATGAAAGTTGGACATGAGGGGTCATACTTTTGATCTGAATAAATTTTGGGCTGCAGAAAAGAGAAGCAACAAGGTGTGGAAGAGAAAGTATCCTCTATAAGGGGATGAACCGTCGAGCCATGTGACATTAAATGAAGTGCTTCGTGGGAGGCAACTCACGCTTTTAATAATTTAGTTTTTCTTTTTGTGTTTATTTTGTTTTGTCTGCGAGAATAAAAAAGGAGCTTTACTGGTGAAAGCTAAGAGGCAGCAACTGGTGTTGCATTTCCCTCTGTGAGTCACCTTTCTCGAGCTTCTTCTGAAACATTAGAGTCAATGTTTAGTTCAAGTTTGGAGGGGGGTTTACTGCTTTTCTTTTTGAGTTATTTGTTGCTTCTATGCTAATTGCTGTGTAAATCCATGAGTTGAAGTCCTTCCCAAATTTTGACCAAATTTTTTTGTTTTATTTTGCTCAAGAGCTTGTATTTCATAGAGATCGAGAATAGTATATAATGCTTGAATCCTGAGAAGTACTCCTTGAGTAGTTTATCAATACAGTCTGGCGTAATTTAGATTCACATGCATGTATGATTGGTTGAAAAATAAATAAAGCTGACACTAAATGATGAAAAGGCGGTAAAAGGCAATTGGCTCGCTAAGTTGGATAATTCTCACCCGGTTATTCAGCCCAAACGAGGTTGGTCCCCAAACGTCGTCCAAACAGGACAATATATAAACTGAAAAGTTTTAAAAAATTTATCTGAAATTAAAAAAGAGAAAAAATTGCTTATTTGGTGCTTGAACAAAAAATTTATTGATTAGTCTTGTGCGTGTGATGACCATAAAAAGTTCTCATTGTCTTAATTTAACTGTTCAAATGAAAAAAGGAGAAAAATCAGAAAAAGACTTAAGTACAAAGCATAGTTAGAGAGATATCTGAAGAGGAAGCTCGGGATTTAAAGGTTCTTACACAAATTATTCACGTCATGTGAACCTCGAACAAACTTCCTTTTGATCAATTTGAATGGATGTCTCACATATGAGTATCGAACTGCTGTAATTTTTATGAGTTCTTGTAATGGTTGCTTGAGATCAAACAACAGTTTAAGTTTTGGAGAGTCTGATCAATGATATTTGTATAATTATTTATCATTAATTATGGTTATCTATTCTTTTATTGTTGAGTGTTTTATCTCATTTTAGTGTATTTTATGCTTTGATTGCATGTTTTAGTATTTTCAGAGTCAGGAATAAAACAGAACAATTCAGAACAAAAAAATGCAAAAAAACTCAAAATTTCAGAAAAAGTAAAAAATCTACCTACAGGAGGCCTGACACGGCCACCCGTGTCACCTGACACGGACCATGTCAGGATGGACGAGCGAAGAAAGATGAAAGTAAGGGGTGTAACACGGGAGGTCGTATTGCCTGACACAGACCGTGTTACAACCCACGAGACCTTATAAAAGAAGATTTGAGAGTTTGAGGACCAACACAGAGTGTCTATGTTTCCTGACACGGGCCGTGTTAGCCTGTGACGTTGATTTCCTGATTTTTTTAATAATTTTTCATATGTTAAACTATAAGAGTGTTTTGAGTACTGTCATCCAACCTAAGTGAGTTTTACTATTTAGATAAATTTCCACGATGAATTAGGGGACTTTTTTGCGAGCGGAGAATTTCTACGATTGAAAAAGAAAACATATGCAATTGTTGGAGAACTAAAACTTTTCATGAGAAGAAACAATTGAAAATCAAAATTCACCAGTAATTTGTAATGTCTATCTTTTATTTTGAAAGTAATTTGAACAATATAAGTAGCTAAACCCCCCAATGCTAGAGATGTCACTGGTTTGAATCTATAATAACTTTGAATTTCTAGTTTTATCAATTTCATGATTTTTATTATTTAATATTTTTATACTTTTCTGATTGGACCAATTAAGATTGATTTACGGTTAACAACCAGCTGAATCGCGGTTGTTAAGATTTTTGTACGATTAAACTATAGTAGATAGCACTAAGGACTAGGGATATCCTATAATTACCGGTTAACTCTTCATAAAACAAAGACTTGAATTCATCATAACTCTCTAAGGACTTAAGATTTAGGATGAATGTTCAAAAAATTTCCCACTAAAAACTTATAAGAGACAAAATAGTACACTTGTTCTTTTTTCGATCAGGTACCATCGAAATCTAACCCGAATGATTTAACTTATAGTCTTGTCTGAGAGCTTGATAGAAGTTTCGCCCAAGAGATTTAGACCTCATATGAGAGGCTTAAAGTCTCATCGGCTAAGCTTAACATAACCTTAAGGAACTAAGAGTCCCATCAAACATATTTATCTCAACTTTCCGTCTGAGGGACTTGAAGTTACTTCAGGCAAAATCCAACATTAAAGTCTCATCCAACAAGTATGATTGAAGTTTAGCTCAAGAAATTTAATTTAAAGTCTTGTTTGAGGACTTGATAGAAATTCTGCCCAGGAGGCCTAACACCTCATATGAGGGACTTGAAGTCTTATCAACTAGGCTCAACATAACCTTGCATGAGGAATTAAGAGTCTCATCAAACATGCTTATCTAAACTACCTGCCTGAGAGACTTAGAATTTTTTTGGCGGAAACTAACATAAAATCTTGTCCCAAAGATGCAACTGAAGTCTATCTCAAAACTCTTAACTTAAAGTCTTGTCTGAGAACTTCATAGAAGGGCCATCAAAAAGGTTTAACACCTCGCATGAGGGATTTGAAATTTTATCAGCCAGGATTAATATAACCTCGTCCAAAGAGTCCCGTCAAACAAATTTATCTAAATTCTCCGTTTGAAAGACTTGGAGTTTTCTCAAACGAATCCAACACAAATCTCGCCTAGAGAATGTGACTGAAGCCTATCCCAAGAAACATAATGTCTTGTCTGAGGATTTGATAAAAGTCTTGTCTGAGAGGTGTAACACCTCCCCTGAGAAACTTGAACTCTCACCAATCAAGAAATATCGGTTGGGAAACTTATGGACTTATAATGTCCCAACACTTTGTAGTTTCAATCAATTTCGTCAATGTCCTTGTGTTTGAGAGACTGTATAGTGATATATTCTTTCCATTCTTTTTTATAGGTAAATTTTTATTTTTTAAACTTATTAAATAATTAATATATAGTTTTTTAAATTTTCTTATAAAAGAGAATGGAAAGAGTATTTGTGAAGGATTTAATAAAGGCAAGAGAGTGGTGACTTTCAGGAGGGAACAACACCTATAAGCTGCCTATCATTAAGAACTATCTTGCTGTAAGTGCCCCTTACTCGTTCAACCATGGAAAACGTGGAAAAAAATTTATTGATAAGAAGGAAGTCATAATCAAGAGACTCATTTTTGTATTTTTGTCTCCCTAGAAAATAAGGATTCAATGGTCTCCTATTGACTGAATGGACGATTATCAATTCCTAAAAAATCTTAGATAAATATCCTATCCCCCTCTAAGATAGCACAGATCATTATATCCTTAACGTAACGCGTAAGGCATAAACACACAGTCTCTCTATAAAACATGATCTTTCACCATCATGAATAAACCATGATTATCCCCATATCCGTACTTTTTAGATAATGTTTGGGATTTTGTTCATTCTGATGCGATGTATTATATCTTATTTGTTGATAACTATACTTCTTATAGTTGATTTTATCCTATAAAAAATCATGCTATAATTAAAACTCAATATAATTTTGTTACAAAGTAAACTTTTATTGTAATATAACGAGTTTATCATTATAATGTTTCATCAGGAATGAACGAATTAAAAGATTCACAAATAAAACATTGATTTTTCATTGTAACATGAAGGATCTTATGCAAAAAATACAAGGAACTCCATCATCCCATCCATCTTAGTCACCAACTCATGCTAATCACTTCTTCCCCTAACCTAAAGCAAAAAAACCACAGTTTTTGTCTCCAACAAAACCAAAATCTATGGTCTTGTCTAGTGTAATCTATGATTCTAAAGAGAACAAAGACAACAAAGGTAGTAAGTACTAACTAGGTAATGATTATCAACGGGTCCAAGTGATAGGAGTTGAAGTGTTTTGAGGAATAATCTGAGGTAACAAACAGTGTTGCTGGAACCCCTCAACCATTGTTGGATAGTTAAAACTTGAAGAGTCATTGTCTTGTTGTTGTTCTTGTTCTTGTTCTACATCCATCATGGCTCCTTCATCTTCTTGTTCTTCTCCCATTTCATCAGCTTCCATCAACTCTATAGAATTTGTATTATTGTTATCATCAGCAGAGGAAGATTGTGGCACCCAAGGCACAATAGCTAAACGACGATCATTCTTGTCGTTTTGTTCAACTAGGTTATCATAGTAATCAGAATCACATTGTTTTGACCACGAAACTTGATCTGCGATGCAATTAATCAAATTAATTAAATTAATTAAATTAATTAGATTAATTAAACATTAATTAATGAAAAATATAAAAATTACTGAAATTAATAAAGCAAAAGGGGAAAAATAAAATACTTACTATTCTTGATTTGAGAGATAAGATCGGAATTGAGAGTGAGAGAGAAAGAAGGAGAAGATTGAAGAGATGGTTTGAAGAGAACAATAGCTCTCTCGTCGTTAGGAACAGTTAACGGTTCGTTTTTTTCTTCTTCTTCAACGATTGGAGTCAATTCAGCGTCCTGATCGGAAAAACCAGAAAGAATAAATAACAAAAAAAAAGATAAAATAGAAGAATAATGTAGGAGAAAGAGAGAGAATACGTACGAGACGACGAATTTTGGTGGCGGGAGAAGAAAGAGAGAAATCGGAGAAGTGGTGGCTGATTTGATCAACGGGGCCGGTGGCTTTTCTCTTCAAGAAGTTGTAGTGTGCAGCCATGGAATTAGAGAGATTTAACGAAAGAGTGATGATTAGAGTTTGGAGAAGGGGGAGAATTAATAAGCGCGGTGTAGTGTCTAGACTTCTCTCGAATTCTTGTTTCTCGCTCTTTTCCTTCCAAAACCTTCCACCCCTTTTCCTCACTTGTCTTTATACACTTTTTTAATAATAAGGAGGGCCTAAGCCCAAAATAAATAAACAACTACAAAGCAATTTTAATTCTTCATATTTTCTTCTCTTTTTCTTTTTAACACTTATGTACCTTAAAAAATTATTTCAATAAACATCTACAATTCAATCAAATAATTTTATCCAATGATATATTATTTTTTATTTTATTCTATTTTTTCTATAAAAGATATTCATTCATTTAAATTGAAAAATACATCAGTTATTATAAATTTAAAATTGTTAAAAATTGGAAAAGGTGAATCTACAAACAATTTTATAGGATCTAGATTAATAGCGAACAACGATAATATAAAAATACTTACAAATATGACAATAAAAATAATTGAAATATTTATAATTTCGGATCTGCAATATTGACATCCAAGTCTTCATCAGATACATAATAAATTGAAGTGAATATGTCAATTTGAACCAATGAACACTATATTAAAACATTTAAAAACACACAAAAAAAAATCTATATTGTTGGAAATCCACCAAATATCTATGATGAATTTCTACCAATCTTGATGAACAAGAATGATATCACCACACAATGACAATAAATTATGAGAAAAGAAAAGAAAGAAGACAATTATTTTCTGCAGAGTTTTTCTCTGCCCATAAAATGTGGAAAACTTTATTAATCACTTGCAACTGCAAATTCTGTGATTGCAATGAATTGACTTAATTACAAAATTAGGGGTTACTCCCTCTATTTATAGATTTAGGTTAACTTGCTCCCTAAGCCAAAGCCCAAAACTATAAAAGCCCAATATACTTATTTTTGTACTAAATCAAATCTATCTATTTTAGATCTAAATCAAATTTATCTAAATCTAAAACCAATCAAATATGTGTGTAGCTTGCTTCGATCCACAAGTTCTTCGACTGGGCAATCTCCCTTCGATACACACACACACGTTTCGACACAATCGAATTACAGGTTAACACACCACCTAATTCATTGTGTCTAAACTATCTATAATCATCATGGTTCTTAGTCTTCTGAACACTTCGACCTGCATTCCCTTCGTCATGATGTTTGCAATCTGATTCTCAATTCTGCAGCGTTCCAAATTCATCTTCACATCTGCTACCTGCTCTCGAAGATAGTGGAACCTCATTTCGATGGGCTTGCTTCGACCATGTGTTATCAGATTCTTCGCCGGATTGATAGCTGACATATTGTCGATCTTCATGGTAATTGCTCCATGATCTTTCCCTGTTATCTCTTCGAACAAGTTCACCATCCAAGTTGCTTGACATGCACAAAGAGAAGCAGTTATGTATTATGCTTCGCATGATGATAATACCACTACTGGTTCCTTTCTTGAACTCCAAGCAACTGGTGCACCACCTAACATAAATATATATCCTGCTGTTGATTTTCGATCTTCAACATCACTACACCAACTTGAATCAGTGTATCCCACTAACTTGCATTCTTTTTCTTTATCAGCTGCAGGAAACAAAATGCCATAGTCGAGAGTTCCTTTGAGATACCTTAGTATCCTCTTCACCGTTGCTATACGTGATACCTTTGACTTCTGCATGAATCTACTTACCATACCTACACTATATGCTAAGTCAGGCCTTGTATGACAAAGGTATCTCAATGACTCAATAAGTCTTTTGTATTGGGTTGGGTCTAATTCTTCCATCTCAAATCTCTTGATAATTTCTCCTGCATATCTTCTTTGATGCATCATCAAACCTCTATTGTTCTTGTAGAATTCGATGCCAAGGAAATATGAAATCTCACCCAGATCATACATTTCAAATTCCTTGTTGAGATCATCTTTGAAGTCTTTGATCTCACTTTTGCAGCTACCTGTTATCAACAAATCATCTACATAGAGACATAGTATAAGCAATTTATTATTGCTTCTTCTTACATATACTCCATGTTCAGTTGTGCACTTCACACATTCCTTCTCCCTTAGAAAACTATCAATTTTCTTATTCCAAGCTCTTGGAGCTTGTTTTAATCCATACAGGGCTTTATGCAGCCTGTACACCTTTCTCTCTTCGTCATGTTTCACAAACCCAACTGGTTGTTTAACATAAACTTCTTCGTCTAAGGGTACATTCAGGAATGCATACTTCACGTCCATCTGACATATGTGCCATCTGTTTATTTCTTCTAGACCAATAGCTAACCTGATTGTTTTGATCCTAGCAACAGGTGCAAAAACTTCATTGAAGTCTATTCCTTCTTTCTGTAGAAATCCTTTTGCCACAAGCCTTACTTTGTGTCGAGTTACTTCCCCTTTGAATTCATTTTCAATTTGTATACCCACTTGACATCAATTGCCTTCATGTCTTGAGGCAATTTGACAAGTGACCAAGTGTTGTTGTCTTCGATAGACTTCACTTCTTCATTCATTGCTTTCACCCACTTCGAATCCTTCAATGCTTCAGCTGCATTGACAGACTCGACATCTGCATAGAAATCATAATGTACCAACTCATCTTTATTATCTATCACATCATCTGATGTAATCACACAATCTTGCAGGCATGCGTCTTGTTCTTTGAGGTCTGCTTGTACTTGGTTGATCTATAACTGTTGGTTCCTCTTGTCGAACTTCTCTTTTGACTTGAGTTTCTGGTTCTTCAAGTAGGATTCCCACTGAGTCTTTCTTGACATTTTCAGTCCAATCCCATTCTTTAAGCTTATCTATGATCACGTCCCTGCTGACCACAATCTGCTTGTTCACTAGGTCGAACAACTTGTAACCTCATGTCGAATGATATCCAACTAGAATCATTTTACTCGACTTGTCATCAAGTTTTCTTCTCAACTGATCTGGCACATGTCTATGTGCAATAGATCTAAATACCTTCAGATGACTCAAGCTAGGCTTTACACCAGACCAATATTCTTCTGGAGTAATTCCTTCTAGCTTCTTCGCAGAACATCTGTTCAAAATATATGTTGCAGCCGACAAAGCTTCACCCTAAAACTCTTTAGGTAAATTCTTGTCTTTCAACATAATTCTCACCATATTCATGATGGTTTGATTCTTCCTTTCTGCAGTTCCATTATGCTGTGGAGTATAGGGTGGCACCACCTCATGCACTATCCCTTCCTTTTCACATAACCTGTCGAAGTCTTTCGACCACCATCATCAGTTCTCAAAACTTTAAGTTTTTGACCACTTTGTCTTTCGACCATAGACTTAAACTTAGCAAATACCTCGATCACTTCACCTTTCTTCTTGATTAGGTAAGTCCACAGCTTTCGATTGAAATCATCTATGAATGTAACAAAGTATTTGTTACCTCTCATCGAATCCACCTGGATTGGTCCACATACATCAGAGTATATGACTTCAAGAATAATCTTTGACCTGCTTCCTGCATCCTTGCTGAAGCTATTATTGTGCTGCTTCGCATGCACACATTCCTCACATACCTCGTTTGGAATGTCGATTTCTGGAAATCCTGAAACCATATTTCTTCTCTTCAAATCTCTAATGTCTCTGAAGTTGAGATGGCCTAGTCGACAATGCCATATCCATTCATCTCTTCTAGCTGCAGTCGAAAGGCACTTGTGCTCCATCACATTTAGTTCGATCTTGAAGGTTCTATTCTGAGACATAGGAGCCTTCAAGATTAATCTTCCATTTGCGTCGACGACTCTCATCATCTTATCTCCGATCGACACTTTATAATTATTTTCGACCAACTGCTCTATGCTGAGCAAATTCCTCTTCATGCTTGGTATGTATAACATATTGGAAATTACTGACCTCTTGCCATCTTTCATCATAATCATAACATCACCAATACCTTCAGCTGCTAGGGTATTATCATTTACGAATTTTACCATATTTTTCATTGAGGGCTTTATGTTGACAAATCAGTCTTTCCTTCCAGACATATGTGATGAGCATCCTGAATCCAAATACCATTGGTCATTGAATCCTTTAATCGTTCATATATTATTATTAAAAAAATTATAATTGTCAAAATAAGTTATAATTTGATACATAAAATTATGTATTATAATGTTATCTAAATCTAAAAAATGATATACATAAGATTGCATTCTTAAATAAATATTATACAAAGAATACGATAAAATATATTTTGTGAAAATAATATTTATAAATAAATAATATTTTATTTTTTATGATTTATAAATTAAAATAAATATCATACAAAGAATATGATAAAATATACATATAATACACGTTGATTTCTTTAAAGAATTAAAGAAATATATATTAGGTAGTAAGATTATATAACATAATGCAATTTGGTTTGGTTTGCAAAATACAAACCGCAAACCAAATTGAACCGCGCGATTTCGTTAGAAAATGACTCAAACACATGCGAATCAAATGCAGTTTTTTATGATTTCAATTTATTTCGGTTCGATTTTACGGTTTTTTACTGGGCCGGTTTGGTTTTGAATACCTCTACTTTACCATGTCTAGAGAGTGAGGCATCATCTACTTAATATAAAGGCAAATTATTCATTTTGTTCCTTTAATTATACCCTTAAATTTAATTTGGTCTCTTAACTATATCCTTATGTTAAATATCTACGTGACAACTTTTATAACGGATTTAGTGTTGTAAAAATCGACGTTAAAAAATATTTTTGAAAATTAATTATTATCGTTCATCTTCTTCCCCAAATTTTTTCATAAACAAAATCTAAAAAAAAATATTCATCTTTTCAAATCCAACTCATCAAACAAAACCTAAAATCTATTTAAAATCCTTTCAAAAATTCTTCCTACAAATCAGAAAACAACATCTTCTGCAACCTCATCTACAACCCATTTTAGAATTTAGGAGCAAAGATAAAAGCT